AAAAAAAAAAAAAAAAGCCCATTTGTACAAATCAACGTTGAAGGCCTAAAAGGGTCCTCTCAAGAAAAGGGCAGTTGTCAGGCATGCAACCAGATAACCAAATGAAAGCCTTTAATCCTTTCGCATCGTTGGCGATTTGTGTGCTGTTCGTGTTGAATCGTGACCTCAAGCAAAAGATCCGACCACATCTTGAGGTTTTCTGCTAGTTTCTGTTCAAACGTGACATCGTGACTTTTGGAACGACTTGTACATGACGAAACATCAGTGATGACAAGTCGTACCAAAATACGAACACGAGTGCAAGTTTGCACCAGCACTCGTATGCCGGATACATATACATATAACCAATCAACCCGGACGCATTAGAAGTGCTGAGCAAGGCGTAGAACAAGAGCGAGGTGGCTTTGGGTGCCAAGAGTCGTAAAAAAAGAAAAAAAAAAAAATAGATCCACGCGAAGCACCGAACCTTAGAAAGTTAAAATTTTATGCATTTTTGTTTTCTTATGAATGGATGATTAAAAATAGAATTTGGCGAAACAAGTGGTCGTAAATGGAGACAGAAAACGGGCTCGGCAATGGTTGTTGATCAAGATGGCAATACAAAAAAAGTTATTCTCCTTGGCCCATGGGCATCACGGGTATCCTGTAACAATAAGACATTAAGCCGCACAACCCGATTTCTCTTGCGAGACCTGCGATCGCAAGTACAAAGTATAGACCACGCTGTACATGGTTCCGTGCTTTGATCCAGAGACAGAGGCCAGGCAAATGCTCGAAGAAGTGAATTTGGGCAAACCAAAAACAAAAGCCAAACCATTCCTTCTTTTGCTCCCGTGAAAGCGGGTGTGTGGCGCCTCAAGGCTGCGCTTTCACTCATCAAACGCCTTGCAAATGCTCCCAACCCGCTTCGGTGATATAGACAAGCAGTGATTTATACACAGCCACACGTACACATCATGACGGAAGCGCGCGCGTTTAGACGCGGCGAATAGCGCGTCTCTTCAAACCGGAGTCACCCTGCTGGAAGCCAACTATGCTTGATTGGTATGCATTCCAGGTCTTGCATCCTTCCTCGAAGCCGCTCATATCACCAACTGTCTTGAGGATCTGAGATGGGTTCTCGAGGAACTGGACACCAAGACCACCGGAGATGTGGAATGGGATATGGCAGTGCATCAACCAAGCACCCGGGTTGTCGATGGCGAAAGCGATGGTAAGGTAGCCACCAGCTGCAACAGTGTGGGTATCACGGCAGATTGGGTTTGTCAGGTTGTAGGCAACACCCTGACCGCTGCCAGCACCATCGCCGATAACGAAGACTATTTTGCACGTTAGATGACTCAAGAAATCAATAACTATAGCAGACTTACAGTTGTGGCCGTGAAGATGGATGGGATGGGGAAGAGGTGTATCGTTCTGGATAGTCCAGTACGTCCAGCCCTCACCGGTAACAGAAAGACCATTGTCGTTGGCTGGTAGCGTGTAGGTGCCGTTTTCAATGTAGCTCAGCGTCGGGGTAGTCCAGAGGATGTCGATAGCCTCGCCGTTAACCTTCCAGAAAACACCAGCCGTAGTGTCGAGTGTCAAATCAAGAGTTGTTGGCTGGGAAGCTGGAGCGGGGATGTTCGTCTTCAGGTAAGGAATGAGGGGAGACTGCTGGTCCGTACACCCAGTGGGGAGAGCATACGACTTAGTTGTTGGGTTACCACCAGTGTAGCCGGCATACTCGACAATGGCGCCCTGGGTGTCGTTCAGAGAAGCCTTGACGTTGGGGCCATCGCACTGTCCACCTCCTGTGGCGACGCGGAACCAGTACGCGCCAACAGCCTGATTGGCATCAATGATAACATCGTAGCGCTGGCCAACAGCAATGGTGAGAGTCTCGGTGGTAAATGGCTCGATTGGAACGAAGTCGGCAGCCACAACCTGCATTTGGTGGTTGTCGATTGCGATGTGCAGATAAGCGTTGATACCGGTGTTGACGAAGCTGATCTTGTTCTTCTTGCCGCCCTGAAGGACAATTTTGGCATACTCGCCGGAGCCGTTCAGAACGCCCTTTCCGTTGACCAAGATAGAATCTGAGGTTGGCGGAGCAGCTGGGCGAGATGCCAGAACAGTGAAGACGGGGGTGTGGAACCAGTCAGTGAGTGGGATAACGCCAAGATCAACGTCGTAGTTGGCAGTTGTAGGACCGTTGATCTTGATAGGACCGACCAGACCATCAGCATACTGGACCGAGTAGTGGGAGTGATACCAAGAGGTGCCGTATTCAGTGGCCTTGAAAGTGTACGTCTTGCTTTGACCCGGAGCAATTGGGCATTCAGTAATACCGTTAGTGCCATCCATCTGGTTGGAATGCAGCTGTCGCAAGCCATGCCAGTGAATGGAGGTACCGTTGTCCGGAAGCGAGTTCTTGACTGTCACTTGAATGATGTCGCCCCAGTCGGCTTCGATGGTTGGGCCTGGGTACTGTTTGTTGAAGACCATCATTGGCCTGGCAAAGCCATCTGGCGACATGATCTCACTTGTCGCCTCAAGTTCGTACTGCGGCATGTGTGAGGACGGGGTGAAACGTGTGAAATGTGGTGTTTGCTGGAACTTACAGTGACAACCTTGCCAGTTTCGGGCCACTTCTTTGTGAAGTCTGTGGAGGCATCGAAGCCTTCGCTCCAGCATTGGCGTGAGGAAGCACCATTCGTGCAAGCAGTGTAGCCACCACGAGCAACAAGAGCGGAGGAGAGGGAGGTGAAGGCCAATAGGCCAGCGCCTATGGTCGACAACGAATACATTATATTGTAAGAAGAGAAACCAAACCTAGGAAAGAAAAATATACTCAAATGTGCTCAACGAGTGTTGGGTAGTAACCAATGGTATATATGAAATTGGAAAGGAAGCGAAGGCGGATGGGGAGTGATCTTGGCCAGGTGTGGATGGTAAAGATATTTATGATCTCTGCATGCGTGCAGAATAGGGTTAGCGAGGCAAGCCTGAGACCAGCAGCCCTGCAGGTCCAGATGTACAGCCTGTCAGGATTCTTGGCCCAAATGACTATATTTGCTTTGCAACTGTGGCATTGCAAGGACAGTCGTCCGAGCCGTGCCTGTTGATCTGACGTACAGGGGACGGCTGAAGTGGCGTCGCCACGATGGAGCGCTAGGCTTGGGACCGCCGAGCAACGATGTTTGAGCCGGAGAAGAGAATCATGATCGACACAAGGGGACAGGTGAATGCCGCATAGGGGGTGCAGTTCATCCCGTCCCGCACGACTTTCACGGCTTTGTTCAGACGAGAAAGCGTGCGCAACCACGATAGTCTGGCGATTCCAGGAGGCGAGTGCGAAAACGCACACGATCCGAAGTCATTGTCTTCCTCGAAACATACGGGCCAAGCCGTCGTGCCGGAGCAACGCTTACCCAAGGGGGCGTGTCAGAAAATAGTCCTCGAGGTGGGCAAAGTTTGGGGACTGATCGTTTAGATTGCCGTGGCTGAGTTAAACGAGAAATAGCAAGGTTCTTAGCTGCAACTTTAAGCCATTATTAGATCTGGATGGTCCAGCCCTAGCCCGGGTAATTCCCATCCTTGGTTGCGGCCCCAAGGTGCCATTCCTGTCTATTAGAACGAGCGTGTTCTGCGCAGGCGGCGAAGACAGCGGCGCCTGAAGCTCGCGCTGAGCTTGGCTTCGTGTTGCTCCAGATCGTGCTTTCAGTGTGATCCCGTCATGAGTCTCGCAAAGCGGGTTCACCGCTTCTGCGCAGTGCCCCCGCGGCTGTGACACTGAGTGTTTCCCAAGGCCTCTGGCGGCAATAGGTACCTTTGTACGAGTCTGCGTGGATCACAACTCGGACGCGACGCAGATCTTGTGCAACGTGACGCTCTGCAGACTGGCCTCTTTGGACGACGGTGGCCACGCTATTGCACGACCTGTCATGAGCAGCTGCCAGAGACGAAACCGTCCCTTTCCCAGAAGTCGAGGCTGCCATCGAAGCAATTGGTGCGACGGCCGTGGTCTCGTGTGCAGTCTGGAGAGAAAGGATAATACAGAACCCGCACGATGCACCAGCGCCGGTTGGGCGTCGCCGAGAGCGGCACAACGTGGTACCACTACCAATCGCTCACCGGCGGAACGGCCAGTCAGTTTGCATCTCTGGCCTTTGGCAGTCTTAGCTTACACCGTCGGATGCCCTATCATCGCGTACGGATTTCAATACTTCTGCAAAATGCACCGTAAACGAGCTTGCTTGCTCGCGTGCTTGAGCCCAGCGCCCTCGACCAAGACTCGGCTCTGCTGTAGAGTGTTATTGTTGACTTTGACACGGCGTGCTGCTGACACCGCAGCAGAACGGCGCAGCGCCGGCACTTTCCAACGGTTCGCATGTGCATGATCAGATAATGCCACTTGGTGCGCAGAGTTGGACGTGAATCAGCTGCACTGCTGATTCATCGTTGTTCCATGTGGAATGGTGCTATCCAAGAGGATACGACCCAAGGAAGATCCATGAGTCCATTCCTCTGGGGCCATCCGTGAATCGGTCAACAAGGCTGGACTCCACGTTTCACTCAACTTTGCGGTCGCAGGATTTGAAAAATGTGGTTCCGTGACACGATGGTCTGTGTATCGAAGAAAAATCCATGACGGCACCGCTGCACAGCTGCAAAGCAGCCCTTCAGCCAAAGACTTGCTCGTCAGGAGCATGGACTATTGAACGACCAGATTCTGACTGCCTCAGTCCATGGAAGCGAGTGACTCCATTCCCGGAGCTGGTTCTCTCCGCGAAGAGGCCGAAGCGACGAGCGAAGACCTGCACAGGTGGAGAACGTGGAGCTCCGATGCGTCAAGTAGTTCAGCTCCAAGGGTTTTACGACACACCGTTCACGCAAGAAAGCCTTTCTGTCCAGCTGCACCGCTCCAGATCGTCCTCTTTGCTTTTCAACGCAGCGAGTTACCTATCGCCAAAAAGCTCGCGGTGCTAATGCTCAACGGCCGGAACCCACTTTCCTGCTGCCACTTTTTGACTACAGAAAGCGTGCTGCCGGTTCTCTCTACGCCAAGATGGTCGTCGTTCGAACCCCCGAAGTCCAAGGCACTTGGCGAGACCTAAGCACAACTGAGGATAGCGGTGCTTAGTGGGCCTGATCGATCGTCCTCTCCGTCCTCGCCACCACCGTGACGTTCCGCTTTTTGCCATTCTGTACAAAAAAGTCTTTGTTTATCTGCAAAACCAGTCTATTCTGAGACAGCCTCTCTCTCCTAGCCCCTCCGAAAGGCTTGAATTAAGGACCCATCTCAGCTTAGTTCAGCACCGTTTGTGCTTGGTGCGTTACGGCAATGTTTCCCCCCCCTTAGTTCTGTTTTAGCGCACTTGGCTGCCGCCAATCGATGGCACGGAATACGCCAGCATCCTGGATCGCTGTGATAAAATTAGACGGTAGCTGCAGGCGTAGCAGGGGTGGTGATATGGTGATATGGCCAAAAGCAAAAGACACCACTTCCTCGCGGTCCATCGTACAAACATCGCGCTACTCTCTCGCCATTTCTAAATCCAGCCTGCCACTAAGAGGCCCATCGTAGAGCCATGGACTTTCTCCGCTCATGATGGCAGTCCTGCAATGGTCGACCATCCTGTTCTCCATGCAAAATCCTTTCATTCGATTCGTCGGAGAATCGGATTCAACCACTTCGGCCCCCAGTTCTGAACGCATGCCACCTACCGTGGAAGCAATTTCACCGGAAGGCCCAACATCTCCATAGGCAACGCCATGAGGTGTGAAGGCGCACGCCCGCGATTGCCACGGCGCTCTTCATCCCAAGCCGTCAACGGCCGTTCCACTTAACAAGAGTGACAAGACTTACGCCCATCTTCTCCACAAGCGTATGCTTGGCTCATGCCTCCAGACCATCGAAATTTTAGGCGACGCTTGGTAGAGCTTCTTTTTGCCCCCGGTCATCTATGTGCTTGATGACGCTTGTCCTGTGGTTTTGCAGAGACAACGGTGGTGATGATGATGATGGTGATGCGATCGTTGACGAAACAATTCGTGGATCGACAGGAGCTGCCTCCGTACAAGACCGTACGGTACATTACAGAAATGCCTTGTTCTACTCACGCCATTGATTCAACAATTGTCTACTTAAGTTCCTGAAATGCACTGCGATGAGAGCAAGCCGTGATCATCACTTCCACATCACACAGCGTTCTCTCTGCCACTCGCTTCTGCCCACGTCACGTTTCAAAAAGGATAGCTCAGCCCCTAGATGTGCTCTGAACTATGTGGAAATTGCTTCCTCGTATACTGCGGAAAGCCGTTAACGCCCACGCGAAGATGACGCGCAATCACTTATACCAAGCTTTACCGTTCAAGATTCGCGAAGCACCGAACAAACCTTAAAAAAAAACTTTCTCCAGAACGCTGAGCGAGTATAAGTTGTCGTTGAGAAGAAGAAATAACGCTGTTTTTTCAACACGCTCAGATCATGTGCTAGTGTGAGGATTGTCTTAGCGAGTGTGGCGTCACACTCCCTTCCCCCTCCCCTTTCCTGCCCCTCAGGTACTCGAAAGGAAACCTGGGTCGCACCCCTGAAGTTCATCACGTTAAGTCATTTCCGATCAGGAAGCGATATTCCCGTTTCCCTTCCAAACATGTCAATATTAGTTGAATGCTCACATGATGACGGGCCTTCTCCGGGTCTGCGATGACTTTCCCTATCAGGCTAGGCCTTAGATCATTCATCTGATCTGACAACAAACGGGGATGACGGGGATGGATAATGATTAAGGCCCTCTGCAAGCGGGATCGCTCCTGGAGGAGATTCAAGAGGGCAATGGTTGCAAAAAAGCACATCTTTGTTCGTGGACAGTGCGTAGGAAAAGAGACCGTTCAAAATTCGAGTACAATGCCCCACAGTAAGCTGACATACTTTCGTTGCGGTCAGAACCTTTGTTTCCTGTTGATGCGAGAAAGAAACATGATCGTCTGGTCTGTCGTGGAAAGATCACGCCATCGTCCCGAGAACAGCAGAGAAATGAAAGTACATGATGACTGTCTCACGGCCTCGAGGCCCGGAGCCTCGTCTCGTGAATACGACATACGGTAGGCATGACGAGCAGTCTCATCAGCTTACAGCATCTGCATAAGGCCCCCATAATCTCCGCCGAGCTCGAAATAACACTGTGAGCGTCGTTCACCTAGATTAAACAGAAAGGTGCAATGATGCTTCGTTCGGCCCGTGTCATGCGCGTGCTTCTAGGGCCTTGCCAACGTCGACGTCAGCATCTTTTGCTCTAGCCGCTATGCATGGTTATGGCGCGTTGGTCGATCTCATCTGGACTACGGAAGAACGTGTGAGGCGATGTGAGACAATGCCGGCACGACGTCCTCGGTCGAAACGTGCGAGACATGAGATTCTTTGGTGTTCCGAGACTCTTGTCTCACCCACGGGACGGGATGACCTCAAAGCACCTGAAGACACCTTAAGCTTAGAGCCTCACTTGTTGTTGATCTTAGTTTCCGAGCCCTCGTAAAGAGCGGACTGCGGTGTTTAGGATCTGTACATGTCCTCTTCAGGCAATACCTATCCCAACAGTCACAACGAAGATGTGAACCACCTTTGCTGACATAAGTCAGAGAGACGTTGAGACCATGGCATATCGACCTTTAACCACTTGCAGAGCTGAGGTAGTCCACCCAGCAGAGACGGCAGGAACATCTGTAGTCGCCAATCTGGCCGCGAGACCTCACAAGACGAGGAGTACCGACATGCGCTGTGCCGTCGCAAGTGTGCCTAGCATATTCAAAATGCCGCCTCGCCGTCGCCCAAGCTAGTACCTACGTTGCGAACTCCCACAGAAACGCGAGAGGCTCCTCCCGCGAATGCGAAGCTGGTTCCGCGAGGATGACAAGGACGGGGATCGTGCTCTTTTTGGCCGCACGCAAGCGACGCTTCATGCGTGTCTGGCACCGCAGCACAAGAGCAGTGTCGACCTCCTTCCATTTCTGGCGGTTGACCAAAGATGCGAAAGGTGTTGGTGTCTTGTTCCTGCGTGGGATTGGGGTTTTGAATGGTCTCGCATGACACGGTTGGAACTACGTTCCTTGCCAAGCATCCCATCTGCTTAGTTCGATTGGAAAATACAAGACCTTCAGCAGCAGCAGCAGCAGCAGGAGGAGGAGGAGGAGGAGGGGGGGGGGGGGGGGAGGGGGAGGATATCTACTGTGTGCGGTCTTGTTGTTACTCGCGCCGGGGATAGAAAGAGGAGTATACACAGAGGATCTCGTACTCGCCCGGAGTGTAGGGAAGGTAGGCCCCTCGAAGACGGTGGTTATGGACTGACACGTTAGAAGGCAGTCTGCAGCGCAGGATGCAGCCTAATGTCTAGCACTTCCATTTCAACTATGCTCGCAAAGTATGTACGGATAAACTATAGCACATGTCAAGAAAACCCATTAATCGTCCTTGGTCGGTAGTACGAAGAGTTGAGGGCGCAGTAAGTAAACCCCTTCACAGACTGAAAACTTTGTGTTTTGCTATCTGGCGCTGTCGATGGCGGGAATCCCTTCCACAAAATGCATCAACATGACAGGCAGGTTTCGTGCCTGCCTCGCCCATACCTTGGTTCAATTATATTCTCCATTGTGCCCCAAATGTGGATGCTGCCAATGCCATTCTCAAAGACATCGGTCAATCGCCTGCATGAATGATTATCAGTGCAATTTTCGAATGCTCAAACTCGACGACGCGTCTCAAATTGTGTCCAAGTTGATTTGGTGCATGCTCCTTGTGGAAACGATTCGTGTTTGCACGCTGACGTTGACACACAACTTTACTCTTTCTGTCCTAATCCTGACAGCTTCTTTCCGAGAAATTCACCAGGCCGCTGGTTAAGCCAGGCATGATAGGCACGATCGTTGGCTGTCTTCTGGGCAAGGATAGGAGGGGTTTTGTGATTTGGCTCAGATGGCAACAGCTTAGCAGTTTCCTTAGCTACCTCCTTGGTTGCGTCTTCGGTAACGTCTACGGCCTGGGAAGCAGAGTCAACACGAGAGCCGTTTTCAATCATGCGTGGCTTCGGGGAGATAATGCCAGACGATGCAGGGCTAAGACGAGACATGGTGGCACGGGGCCGACGGGGTGGAGACTTGTGTGAGAAGTTCGTTCGTGGCTTTGGATCGATGAGGCCTTGTGGCAATAAGGGCACACTAGAGCCACGATGAAGATCAATATTTGTCGGAGAACCAGGAAGATTAGTATGAGCTGCACTGAAGTGTCCTCCAGAATTGTTGGTGTAGTTCGGATGACGGATATCCGCAGGATCGAAATGAGAAGGAGCACAAGCTCCTTGACCAACAAACGCGCTGGAGCTAGTGTTGCTGAGGAGAAAACCAGGCCAGTCGTTGGAGAACATGCCTGCCTGGCCATTGCCGCTGGGTACTATACCTGAACCATGGCTGCCGACCGAGTTGACTGGAGCAATGTTAGTACGCAAGACACATATAGGATTGTCATCGCCAATCTTGCCGTTGTTGTAGCCCGGCGTAGCGCTGTAGCTAACAACAGCGTTCCCTCTACCCAAGGTAGTCTTCATAAAGTCATTCAGCGGCCGATACTGCTTGCCTGCTTTGCTGGAAGGATCGTCGGAGCTCAGCTGTTCCTCGAGGTGCCAAATGCGATGATGAAGAGCTTCAAGGACATCATGAGGCTTGGGCCCTGTAGTCGTGATGTCGATGCCAAGGTATTTTTCAATAAGCGCACACTTGTTATTGAACGTCATTTTGGTCAGCTCATTTTCCGCATTGAATGCTCGCCTAGATACGGAGTCAAGACCGGCGTTGGCTACTTCAAGACGAAGACTGGCGACTTCGGTGGCAAGATTAGTTACAAGAGCACTATCAATTCTTGGGGCAGTGCATTTCGAAAGAGATTGGATCTGGCTCTCGAGAGCTGAAACCCTGCCGCCAAGACTGTTTTGGTTCACGTTATTGCTGTCCGAGGCTTCAGTGAGTGCGGCTAAGACACGCTTGAGATCAACAATTTCGCTTCTCAGTTGCTCAATCTGTGCTTTGTTTTTGTCGATGAGCTTCCATGTTTCACAGAAGGCTTGCAGGATCTGTTCTCGCGTCCATGTGGTCGTCTCCTTGGTCGCGTTGTTGGCTGCGTCACCCAAAGATGCATCAGTAATGCCGGTAACACTTGTAGTGCCGTCATTGTTACTGTTCTCAGTGGAAGCGGCACAGTTTGGCGCAACGGATTCTGGACAAGGTGACGACATTAGAGCAACTGAGCCGGGACTGATCTCAGTGATGCTGATGCCGTGCACAGTTTGTTCGCGCGATGAGATACCGTCGCGATTTGGCCGAGACGGGGGTGGCGGGATTTGATGATTCACGAAGAAAGGATCGATAATTTGTTTGTTGTTAGTGATGTTGTCGTTCTCAGTGAAGTGACTGAAACTGCGGTGAGGAGTTGGAGTAGCAGGGCTAACAAAAGGGTCCTTTTGGACGCCGCTCAGTTCTTTCAACAATTTCGCGACTTGGGCTTCCTTGTAGACGATGAATTTGGTCCGCTCGATAGCCTCCTTTTGCTTGAAGGCGTTCGACTGTTCTTCTGGCACGCCACTCGGGAATTGCAACAAAAATTTTTGGAGGCGATGGTTACACTGGATTGAGTAGTGAGTCTCCAGATCGTTTTGGAGTCTCAGAACCTGAGCATCAATTGAAGCGTAGGGTTCGAAGCTGGAGATTGAGCGTGAAGCTGGGTCATGGCGGCCGTTTGGGATGTGAACGCGACGCTCACGAAACGGTGTGGAATAGCCGTCGGCAACCGATGTAGAGTCTGAAGTCACGGCACAGGAGTCACTTGCGTGCGGGGCGCCTTCAGCAAAGAGAGGAAGCAACGGCTTGATGTTGAGTTGCTCATCTGCCAGCGTGGAGGCTTGTTTGCCGGGACGCGTCGGAGTCTCAGCGAGCAGTGAAGCCGTTGCGTCGTCCATAACGATAGTCGAGTGAATTAGTGCGCTCGTAGGACATGGGCCTAGGTCATGAACTACTAAAGGAATAGATGTAACTATGCCAGCAGAGTGAAAGCGGGCTGCCGCACGAAGAGATATGGTTGCAGAAGGTGACGGAAACGTGAGGGGAATGTTCCAGGACCTTTAAGAGCATAAACGCGTTCTGTCGGCTGCGACCGTCTTTGCTTGCCAAACCTTGGCCTCGACTGGCCATCCCTAGATCGACCTCACGCACACGCAACTTTGAAAAGAATCTACGAAACTAAACTCACCCCTCATCGGCAACGGCCGTACCGCTTGACATAGTAAGCTTGCTCTATTCGTGTTCGAGTCGAGATCTATGGGTATCGTTCTTCGTATTGTACATCTAGTTCCATGTCGCAGTTCTGCAGTGCGCTGTCCAGCCTGGGATCATTTGTCGTTAACCGGCTATGTGAGCAGGATATCATATCCGTCCTTTCTAATTCGCACCACGTCCGATGAGTCGGCGTACTTCCGCCTCACAATCTCAAACACGATCAGGCCCGCGCTCGTACTTGGCGTCTGTCGGATTGTCGTCCATAGAAAGTCGCGGTACAGCCATCGTCTCCAACCACCCTCGCGTCTTGCCTGCCGCCGACACTGCTCGTATGTCTTCTCGTATGCGTGATAATAAAGTCGGAACATGCTGCGTTTCCGATTTTCCAGCTGCGCTGCGTAGTCTATGCTCTCTAACCGTTGATAGTGGACGTCCTGGACGCGAGTGATTGGATGCTGAACAACCTGCTGTGCCACCGATGCACCCACACCGGCCAACAGAAGGAACGTCGGCTCGATCATGTAATGAGGTCGGATAATCGGCTTCTTGCCCTCGTGTCTGTCTGCAGACCTCTGCAACCCGAACACCGTCGCCGCATCCATCTTCCCATACCAGCGCGTCAAAAAGCCGTAGTATATCTGAGCTTTTACGTACTCGAAGGTGGAAAAGAAGAGCGCGCATCCAACGGCGTCCTTGACGAGCGAAAGGCTGTACCCGGCGAAAACGCCCTGCGGGCCGATTGATTTGAGCTTCTGATACGCGTAGTGCCACATGTCTTTGTAGTGGCCCTCGAGCATCTCACTCGTTTTAAAGCGAACCTGCAAAGCGTCAAGCGGCGCGGCAACAAGCGACTGTACTGCGCCAGCGGCGGCGCCAGCAGTCACTGTGTGGCAAGGATCGGGAGGTGGATACACGCGCCGAGAGGCGTAGGCTGATGGCTCATGGAGCATGGCGAGAGACTGCAAGTAGGATGTGTACAGCACAGCACCGACGGTCACATTGGCTAGCATAGGCGGCAGCACCTGGTTTGGAATGAAAGACCATCCGTGTTCCTTGACGGCGTGGGCGAGGAGTCCGGGAGTAGTGACGTGCCACGACCAGGAAGACCCAGCCTGGATTCGCGGATTGATGGCACGGGCATACGCTGGAATCAAGTGTCAGTGCTGGAAAGCACGAGAATGAGGAAAGGGATATATATCCTGAATCTTTCCTCGTAGCATTGATGAAGTACATACCCATATAATCCACCCGCGCCCGGAAGAAAGCCTTCATGGGTGCTCGAAAATAAAATGCTACAAATTGAGCACTCAGCGCCCGTATCCCTGCTGCTGACGCTCCTGTAGCAGCATTACTCTTAGGCTTCCGCACGCCATCACGGCCGTCGTGCTGCCCGCTTTCGACTAGATCTAGAGACGGACGTGCTGAGTCCGAGGCGTCCACAGACGTTGACATTCTCTACCCTCAGGCCGATCCATCAGGCGTCCATCATGGGCACAGACTACGACACATAACAAGGCTTCAGGGCAAAGGGAGCGAGATCGACCGTCCTACTGTTCTCTTGTGTGAAGGGGAAAACTGTGCTTCCTGTCGTTGACGGCCGCGTCGTCCTTTGAGAGGCGGCCGGGAAAGTCCCACTTGCGCACGGGCCAGAGTAGCTCTTGGCACATCACGTCGACGCGCGCCTGAATCAGGTCGCGGCGGGCGCGGAGGCGGCCAAAGTGCTACAGCGCCTTATCCAAAGCAGCCGCCATCTCACGACGAAGGAAAAAAAAATCAACCTTCAACCACCTTCACTCTCTCCCCCTTTTCCCTTCCGCATCCTCGCACTGGGCTCGCGCATTGATTTCGACCACACTTGGCCCGCTCGCGATGTCCAGCGAAATCGAGATAAGCGCGGACGTGTTCCACAGTCGTCTGTCGTCCTTCATCACGGCTTGGAAGAACGACAAAAGGGCCGGCGATGTGCTGTTCAGTGGCGTGGGCTCAGTCGTGATCTCTGTGGGAAAGGCCACCGAGGGCGCGTACCCGAAGAGCGCAGCGATTCAGGTTCGTCGGCGATGAAATTACTTGCCTCTGCAACCAGGACGAGTGCTCATGTGCATTGTCTAGCTATGGCTTCTAGGCTACGAGTTTCCCCAGACGCTGTTCATCATCACGATGGAAGGCATGACCATCGTCACGACGAAGAAGAAGGGTTAGTTGTCAGCCACCGTTGCTCGGCAAGTCGTCTGACTTTTTGAACAGCCTCCTTCTTGGAGCCTCTCAAGGGTGGCAAAGTACCTCTGGAGGTCCTCGTGCGTGGCAAGGATAACGACGAGAATGCAAAACAGATCGAGCGGTGCATAGAGATCATCAAGAAGAATGGCGTATGCAGAAATTTACAGATGGGACTGCGAAAAGGTGCTGACATCTAAACAGAAGAAAGTTGGTGTGCTCACGAAGGAGAATCCCGAAGGCGGCCTTGCAGAGGAGTGGAAGCAGGCGCTCGCCGCTTTGGACGACAAAGAGGAAGTTGACATCTCTGTCGCGCTGTCGACTGCGGCGCTTGCCGTCAAAGACGAGCAAGAGCTTATTTCTACTCGAGATGCCTCCAGAACGTCTGCGCGCATCCTTCAGAAATACTTTGTGGAAGAGATGTCGCAGATTGTCGACGAGGAGAAGACCATCAAGAACAGCGCATTTGCTGACCGCGTCATGAACAAGATCGAAGATGCCAAGTTCTTAACCAGCTTGAAGATCTCAGATGATTTCCGCTCCGAGAATGTTGACTGGGCCACGCAGCCTACAGTACAGAGTGGCGGCAACTACGACTTGCGCTTTGCCCAGGAGCCCGACGACCAGAATATGCGAGCCGACATAATTATAGCTGCATTGGGCATCCGCTACCAATCTTATGCCTCCCTCGTCGCACGGACATATCTCGTTGACCCAAGTAAGGAGCAGGAGAATAATTACAAACTGCTGGTCCAGATCCATGAGACGATTCTCAGCACGATCAGAGACGGCGTCAGCGCCAAAGAAATATATGCCAAGGCTTATGGGTTGCTGAAGCAGAAGAAGCCAGATCTTGAGAAGCATTTCGGGAAGAACGTGGGCTATGGCATCGGCATTGAAACAAAGGACGGCACTCTCATGCTGAACTCCAAGAACAGCCGCCCACTCAAGGATGGCATGACGCTTGTGGTTCAGACCGGTCTTCAGGACTTGGAGAACAAGGGCAAGAAGCCTCCAACCTATTCTCTCGTTCTCGCTGATACGGTTCGCGTCGCTGCGTCGAAAGCGATTAATTTTACTAGGGACGCTAAGTACGATGCCGAATCGGTATGTTTCTTCTTCGATGAGAGTGAAGAGGAGCCCGAAGCGAAGCCGAAAGCCAAAAAGGACAAGAGCATCGGTGCGGTTGCGTCGTCGAACATTGTGGCGAAGCGTCTACGCGCAGAACGCCAGGCTACCGATACTGCCGAGAAGGATGCTGCTCGCCGGGAGCATCAAAAAGAGCTGCATGCTCGTAAGCAGAAAGAAGGCCTTGAGAAGTATGCCAACCAAAAGGGTGCTCTCAACGGTACGGAGGAGAAGAAGTTCAAGAAGTTCCAATCGTACAAACGTGAAGAGGACTTCCCCAGCAAGGCCAAGGAGCTGATGATCGTTGCCGACCCAAAGAATCAGTCTATCCTCGTTCCGATCATGGGTCGCGCAGTTCCTTTCCACATCAATACTATCAAGAACGCAAGCACCACCGCTGAAGGTGCCTTCACGTCCTTGCGTATAAATTTCCTGTCGCCTGGTCAGGGCGTTGGTAGAAAGGATGATCAACCGTTCGAGGACCCTAACGCACATTTTGTCCGTTCGCTAACCTTCAGATCCAAAGACTCAGATCGCATGCAGCAGATTGCTGGTGCAATCACAGATATGAAGAAGGAGTCTGTGCGTCGCGAGCAGGAGAAGAAGCAACTCGAGGATGTTGTCGAGCAAGACAAGATCATCATCGACCGTCGGCCTCAGAAACTTGATCTCGTTTTCTTGCGTCCTGCGCTTGACGGCAAGCGCTTGCCTGGTGAGGTGCAGATTCACCAGAACGGCCTGCGCTACGTTCACGGCGGAATTGGCGGCGGTGAGACAGTGGACGTGCTCTTCAATAACATCAGACACTTGTTCTTCCAACCGTGCAAGAATGAGCTCATCGTCATCATTCACGTTCACCTCATCAATCCGATCATGATCGGCAAGAGGAAGACCAAGGACGTCCAGTTTTATCGCGAAGCCACCGACATTGCGTTTGATGAAACTGGCAACCGTAAGCGTAAACATCGGTATGGTGACGAGGAGGAGTTTGAGGCTGAAGAAGAAGAGCGCAAGCGACGTGCGGAGCTCGACAAGCAGTTCCTGAGCTTCGCGAGAAAGATCGAAGAGGCGGACAAGGACGGCCGTGTGAGAGTTGACGTTCCATTCCGCGACTTGGGCTTCAACGGTGTGCCTGCTCGCTCCAGCGTTTGGGTACAACCGAGCACGGATTGCTTGATTCAGATCACAGAGCCGCCGTTCTTGGTCATCACTCTAGACGACATTGAAGTTGTCCATCTTGAACGCGTCCAGGTATGTTCTATGGATCTGCTCTGATGTTCAGAAAACACATGATTAATCACCACAATAGTTTGGTCTCAAGAACTTCGACATGGTCATTGTGTTCAAGGATTTCAACCGCAATCCGCAGCATATTAATACCATACCTGTCGAATCCCTCGATGCCGTCAAGGACTGGCTCGACAGCGTCGAAATACCCTTCTCCGAAGGTCCGCTCAATCTCCAGTGGCCAACGATTATGAAGACTGTGCAAGCCGATCCACACGCATTCTTCGCCGAAGGTGGTTGGTCATTCCTCTCCACAGAGACCGATGACGAGAAAGACGAGGAATCCGAAGAAGAGGAATCCGCGTTCGAGATTTCGGATGATGAGTTGGAAGCCAGTGACGAGAGCAGCGAAGATGATAGCGACTTCGACGAGAACGCAAGCGAGGAGGCTAGCGACGACGAGTTGAGCGGTGAGGAGACGGAGGGCGAGGACTGGGATGAAATGGAGAAGAAAGCCTCCAAGGCTGATAGGAACTCCGGGCTGGACGACGGAGACAGGCGCAAGGGAGGCGCCGGTCAGAAGCGGAAGAGGTAGATAGGCCACCTGAAACCGCGCAGAGCGAGCCATGCGATAGGGAAAGATCTTTCTCTCTTTACGATCATGCGAGCGCTGTGAGCCCAGCAACCGCTAGCTTAGATCTTGTGGGTTTCCTACGGGGCAAAGGCGTACTATGGTTGCTTTGATCAGGTCGAGAGAGGAGATTTAAAAACACGCAGCAAAGGTCTTCAAAACGAGTGATGCACATGTGCCTTTTTTTTTAAAAAAAAAAAAAAATTTCATGTCCTTGTAGCGCACCGTCGATGGAATGCACTTTCGTCACGCTCCACGTTCGTCTCAAATCACCCACGCACTTCGGTGATGCTCCATGGGGCCCCTTCCCACGACCAACTCGAGCTTCGACGGGGAGACTCGCATGTGCGTCTGGGCTGAAGATAAAGATCAATTCTCCACTGCAGCGCCGGGATCGTGGCGTTGATCCCCGCGTGGCTACAAGTACCAGGCAAGGGATGCCCGGACTGGCGTCGGCGCATAGGGCTGAACGAGAAAGGAACAAGACGTTTCGGGTGCGGGAGAGCCACATGTGTACATTTCTCAAGCATGCATAGGTTTTCGATGGGTCATTTCGTTTCCGATCTCCCGATCGTACTCCGCTGGCATGATTTTTTTTGTATGAGCTGCGTTTCAATCTACCTGGTTTTCTTTTCTCTCTTTATTTTTCAAAAAATAAAAGAGTGTTTCATGGCAAATCGCCGCTCCACCCGGAACCTGAGAAAGAAAAAATGGGGAGAAAAACGTCGCAGATACTGTGTCTATTGTATATTCTCTTCAGTGAATCTATGTGACATGAAAAAATTCGTCCCAGTTCGTTCAAAGTGATTCGGGCGACTCGCGCCAGCAGCCTCCCCCAATGCTTTTTGTCTTCATATCTTTGTTGTCCATTGAGGAAAGGCGTCGCCAAAGGTGCGACTGAAGCAGCAAGTCTCGCTTGCGCTGTTCTTCTACTTTTTGAAGTAGCGACCCTGACTCCAGCAGGGGCGCTTAGACGAAGGTCCAAGAAGTAGTGAATGTACCGGCATCAAGCGTGGCGCCGGCAGCTTCAAAGGCACTTGGGCTCAGGTCGACTGCAACCGAACCGCCGGCGCAGGCCACACAGGTGTCGACGACCGTCACGGTGATGGTGGTACCAGTCTCCTCGTTGGTTACAGCAATGTTCTTGCCGCATGCCGCTGGCATGAAAGACGGCGCCAGGGCGGCAATCATGTCCGTGTCCTGTGGCTGATCCCCGCAAGAGGAGTAGGTTGGATACATGGTGTTGTAATAGGTCGCTTTGCCGGAGGCTTGTCTGCGCTCGAGGTTTGCGCTCGCCTTGTTGGCCTCACTGACTGGGAGAGCGGAAGAAACGGCGGCAATAGCCAAGGTAACGAAGACAGTAGCGAACTGCATGTTGATTTTGAACTGTTTACTTCGGCGTCTGGCCTTGGATTGATTCTAGCTCTTGGAAGGAATGCGATGTGTTGAGACGTCTAGTCTAGTCCGTTCAAACTACGAGTAAGGACGGGAAGTGCTTGGAAAGCGTACGCTGCCAAGAATCAATCTGGCTAAGAGAATGTAAGGATTAAAGATCGGCAGAAAAGAATGTCTTGCGATCTGAATGAATGGTGTGATGGATAGAGAAACAACCTGGGGGAAACAGCATCTATTTATCCAAACAGAGACATGCATCTGGCCACTCAGCATACTCCCATGATGCGGACGAGTGTCTCGTTCCAGAAGCCAAATGCCATGGGGCCCAATGGCTTCTTTCTCTGGACGGGTCCCGCTATCTGCTCGAAACCAGCAGATTCCGGTAGCCTGGAATCTGTACATGCCTCGTCACGGCCAATGGTCCTGTCGGAACATACCGACCTCGGGAAGTCTTGCATTGGTTCGACGGACAGTCTAAAAGATGGAGGAGGAAGTGTAACATGGAGCGGCACGGAAGCGCCAAGACACGTAATCCTGAGTTCCTGCAGTACACTAGTTCGCGACCTTGCATTAGTTTTAAAAACGTGGGAACCCCTTGATCGTGGTTTCGGATCGGCTTCCCAGAATTTGAGACAAACGCAGCACTGCGAATCTGATGTGGCGTTCCAAACTCTCAGTGATGTTGACGAGTCATGATTTTCAGACGAGTCCTAAATCCTTCGTCCCATAGCGATGCGCAAAACAGGTTGAGGACAAAGTATTTTGCTTTGGGACTTTCGCGAGGCGGCGCATTGCGATCGAATTCGTCAGTCAAAAGAAAAGTTTGCGCGCTGAAAATCCCAGACTCGATCTACGTCGCTTGCAGGTGGATACTTATGGATCATGGCAAACCAAGTACGCAGCATGAGTCTGTCCCGAAGCTGACAGGCCGCGATCGAAATGGCCGGAAAGGTGCGAAATTTTCGAGCCAATGGGCTGTGAGCCGTCCTTCCACGAACGCTAAACTGTGGAAGGATGAAGGTCTTCCTTGAGGTCTAGCTGCATGAGACAAAAAATTTTGGAACCCGCGCATGGACGAAAGGTTTCTCAACACATGGACCGAAGGGACCTAACCCCGATCCCGACAGAGATGGACTCATCACGTGTGGAGGTGAGCCGTCTTCCAGACCGAAGTTCCAGCCCAGGCGGTTTCCGGCTGCAAAATCAGGCTTGCTATCGAACAAAATTCATGTCGTGGACAAGTGGAGTTGGGAATGACGAGTGGTCGGATCCCAAGTGTTTTCGCTTCGTTAGTCAGAGGCATCCTATCGCAAAGTCTCCCAAATCTCAGCCATTTTTACGTCCGGGGCAGCACTGTAAACTAGCTTCGCAAGCGAACTGGCGCCTTGTGGTGCACTCCCAACACATAAGACTCGCATTTGTTGTACCTGGAACCAGGGCTTGATCCGAAGAGGCGCAGAGCTGGGCATTCATGTGGGTGACGGTTGAGCTGCTATTGCAGCAGTCATACACAAATTGGCCAGGAGCAACGACGTGCGGTAGTACAAGCTAGCTTCGCGAGAAACTCGCGCAGAATTTTTTTCTTTCTTTTTTTGTTCCCGTCTGGTCAACAGTTGTGCGCTCCGATCAATGTGCTCAGTCATCATTGGGAAAATGCAGGTGGCGAGCTAGAAAAGACCTCGCCTACGCACGTTGGGCTTAACACGGTTGTTCAACACTCAACTCAGAAGAGGTGGAAAGGGCCGGAAAATCTTGCAAAGTTCCAAGAGATTGTATTAGAAACATGTGAAGCGGCGGGTGCCATGGTTGAGTTTGAGGTGACTCCAGCAGACCGAGCGCATCCGACGTCCTTGGTTTGATCGGGTTGACACAGAAAATGGCACAGCCAAGTCTCTAAAATCATAAAATTAGCATGCTATGTGCCTCTCAACAGACGGAGTTCTAATGAAATCCAAAGAAGCAGACGTTGCCCTGTTTCGATCGAGAAAGTGAGCTATAAGAGCCTAGGACAGATTTTATGGCACCTTGCTCCTGGTGCGTCCAAGAAAATTGGCCCAAGAATGTAGCACAATCGGAACGAGCGAGCATATTGACCAGATGTCCATGGGCGTGTTTAAATTAAATCGCAACGGACCCGAATTGCTTAGAAGATGCTCGAAGTAAAACTTTTGAAGAAGAAGAAAATTTAAGCAGAAATCGTTCGAAGTCCAACTATAGGAACGGTGAAGCGAAATTGCTTGGACAGAAATAGTCAAGCGTGATGTACGACAGGTATCACGAGCAACCCTAAAGTTGTATATAGGATATAAATGGGTATTGATACCTAGAAACAGCTTCTCGCCATGTAATAAAATCATATTGTGTTCGAGAGTATGCTTACAATTCATAATTTCTCCGCTACAGAAGAACATGAGTGCGTCGTCCATGAATTCAAAATGCTGCGGTCTAGAACTAGTGAATTGTTTCCATTTTAAACAGCATTAGACACAAGAGTGAATTCATATCGTATAACATATTATAGGCCATACAACTGCTAAAGTTAGATGAAATTCGTTATCATGTTGATGGTTCTGCTATTTAGAATTTATCTTCGTCTCGAAACATTTCTTATCGAATCTTCAGATTTCGGCTAATGCGTAGTAAGTATACCTATCTAAGTAGTACGGCCTACGTTATAATCGTTCAGCTTGAACATTTGTTCACGAGGTTCTTTGCTCAGCTGACTACGTTTTCTTGTAGCGGCCACTTTCGTTTGTTCGATTGCCATTGGACTAAGTGATGCCGAAACAGCAAGTGCCAACACAATGGTTGCTCGACGGTTGATTTACGCTATTGGATTCGAAGATGTTCTGAGCTTCATTCATTACTACAATATAGTAGTTCTGTTTTTCCCACATAACATGCTTCAGAAAGGAGAGTATGTTTCGGTTTCGTTGCATTTCTCTTCTGGATCAATAAACGAATTGATGCACTGTGCATAACAACGTCCCCGCTTCTCCAATTAGATACTTGTTCTCTGTTGATGATGCGGAATATCGGATATAGCTAGCTAGGTAGCATGCTAGAGGCTGTCCGGTAGCAGAATGCCTTTTCTGGTTTCCAAGTCTATAGCGCTAGAACCATCACTTGAACACGGAGACAGTTTGACTCGAGTCATTTTGCGAATTATGCCGAATCCGTAATCTCGGCGCCTGACAGTCTTGTTTCGCTCCTGGGTAACTGAAATCATCGGGCCCATACTCTGGCATCATTCGCACCTGGTAGCCTGTGTAGAAAGGCAAAACTAAAGTCTTAGATAGTATGGAGCCGAATTATGCCCAAATGAATGGCACGGGTTTGTGATCCATTATGATGGGACCTTCGAGACGAAGACGGACAGAGAACGATGACTTTTTAGCGGTTCTCTTCGTTGCCAGCTACCCAGTACTTTAAGACTGCCGAGTCCAGACATCCGGCGACACAACGCAAAACTAACTAAAGCACAGTTTTAGAACTAGTCTTCCATCGTGATGGTGCTGCCGCTGCCGCTGCTTCTTTGGGCGAGAACATTCCAGAACAAAAACGGGTTGAATTGGAACGTTTGGACGAAATTTGCTGACCAACAAGAGTATCTGCGTCTCGGGCTCACATCTCGCTCCGCGCGCGTAATTTAATGCATCCCTCTTGCCTGTTGGAAAGGTATGAATTTCACTTGTGGAGCTGCTGTTGGGATTCGCCCCCAGAACAAGCTGAACTTGAAGGAGCTGAGCCTGACAATTTTTGGATATTGATATATCTCACGCCGCAAGCTTCATAGATGCCATAAATAACACAGCATAATGCTGTTTCTTGTCTGGAATAAGATCTTGCTGTACTGAAGCGTTCGCACTGTGGACCTGAACGAAATCGGGGTAGGGCGTCAACGTTGATGCCTTAGGTTACATTGGTCTACTAGCTCATGCCACTTTGTGCCCTGTTCGCCGATGACATGCTCGTCTTCGAAGAATACTGAATCTGTTCTCTCCAATCAACAAATCCTTTCTTTGCTCAATTCCTGCAGTCATACTGTCCTGTTTTCATTCCCTCTTGGATCTTAGTCTGGATACTGGGACATAGTCCTATCGCCAAACACGTAAACTCCCGACTACGCGGATTGGAACATCATAATCACCCGCCAGCATGGACTCCATGCGATCGTTGAACACATCGCTACCCCATGCTTCCTCACCAAGGAAGCAACGCTCGCAGCCTCCTGAACACCTCCTTGCACAGTTTAAACAAGCTGCGCTCTCGGTAACAAATCTTTATAAGGCAGCAGCCTCGGAACACGACAAGGCCTACCATGAGGGGTACCAAGATGCTCTCGAGGAGCTCCTCAGCTTCCTAGATAAAGAAAACCTTGGTTTGCAAGATGGAGAGGGATGGCGTGTACGGCAGTGGGCCACGGAGCGCTTTGAGGGGACATCGGCAGCTACTGCTGCTAACGGCAGTGAGAGCGACGATGAACACGAGGAGGAGAAGACGACACAACCGGAAACCTCGCCTACTCTAGGACGGAAAGCGACGCCAGAACTTCAACCGACACTGGAAGCGACTCTCAATCCATCACCAGCCCACACTCGATCAGAATCTGCCCCGCCGATAACGGCTGCGCCAACAGTGGAGCCACCAACACAGAGGGACAACACCAACATTGTGCAGACATACTCGGTACCGCAAGCAGAATTCACATTTCAGTCGAATCATCCGCTTCCAACCGTTCATGATATAGATATGGATGCTTCTACGGACAATAATGGCACCGTGCACATCAACGTCGTACCTCGGTCTACACGAAACGCACGTCAAAATGCTCGATCACTTAACCGGACAGGCTCATCATTAGGACCTGGAGCAGGTATGAAAAGACGATTGCCAAACTTTGACTTCTTCGATCTAGGTGGCTTTAACGGCAAAGATGGATTTGGTGGACCTGGTGGCGGAGGCAAGCGAGGACGTTTCACATAGCGACGTGCTGAGAATGGCTCAGATGGGCTGACAACGTATTGCAATTGCATAGCGTGGTACGGTGCATAGCATTGAGGTTATTTTTCCCCTGGGATTTCGAGGATGCATGCTACATATACGACATGATCACGTCCGAGTAATGTTCAACTTTCGATACCCACGAACAATACGGCATAGAATGGAGTTCGTAGTCTCTTTGGGATAGAGAGTGGACGTCCATAGTACATATAAGCTTTGAAAAATAGAAACCATTCGTAACTAGTACTGTGGCCCTCTTTTTTTCGATTGTCCCTGCTTGGGTATCATGTCCGAGAAGGTTGAACGCCAACGCTATGCACAAAGCTCCTTGTTTATCCGGAATCTCCTCGCTCATAAACCTTTGAACAACCTTTTGACTAATATCCTTTGACCTTCCTCGTCTAACCCTTCCTCATCAGCGATGGTCAGCGCCCGTCCCACAGCGACTACGACTGGCACGCTCTCTGAATTTACCCATACTCTCCCATTCCGACCCACGGCAATTTCGAAGGCGACTTTCTCGCTCATTGATTCAAGCAACACAAGGCCCCCTCTTTTCCCCATCATAAGCTTTCGCGCGAAATGGCAGCTTACATCGAAGACCATGCCAGACTTTAGCGGGCCCATTCCCTCCGCCTTGCCGGTGTTCTCATTGTAGCATTGGATCTCTGTATCGGTGTGCTTAGAGACGGATAGTACTCTCGCGTACACGAGGTCGCCGGCGTGAAGCTGTGGTCTCGTTTTCTTGGTTGCGCCCTCGAAGGCAAGGTGCGGTAGGATGACTGGTGTCGTGTACGGACTCAAGCTCACGGAGTAGTACTCCCCTGAGCTTCGCAATATTGTTCCAATAACCAAGTCGCCATGCGAAGGTACGTAGCGACCGCCAGTGTACTCTATCCATATGGCGTTTTTTTTGTGGTCGGTTGTAACAGCGCCAGCAATGCATACCTTCAGAGAACCCGGCGGTATGTGACGCAGACCGGGCCCGACTTTCAAAGCCTTCTTGCCTGTTGGAATGAGTGATGAAGGAATTGAGTCTCCAGGCAACAGAATCGAGGCGTCAGCGTCCATTGTTGTGTTGCTGACTGGATTTTTTTTTCTTGGACGAGTGGTTAGAACTAAGCTTTCGAACACTTGAACGATGACTCGCATTGTGATTCACACGAAGCCGCCCCACTATACAGTATTAATTCCGCACGATCGAAACCCACGCAAGCAAACCACACGACCAACCCTAACTATGGCTGATGAGCAAAAGCTACCCGAGAGGCCTGCCGAAGGCGCTGAAGGATCAGCCGAAGGAGGCGAAAAATTGTCCAAAAAAGCACTGAAAAAACTCGAGAAGGAAAGAGAAAAGGTACTGACTCCTAACTAAATATCTCTGTACTGCAGTTGGTCTAGCTTTGATATATTCTATCTCGGTCTACCTCTGTTAATCAGCTGCGCGATTTGATTTTTCAAAACTCTTTTCTGGATTCTGCTACTATACACAAGCTTTGTCCTAACGCGCTCGTGTAGGCTGCTAAGAAGGCTGAACAAGAGAAGGCCGCAGCAGAAAAAAAAGCACAAGAGGATGCGAACGATGTCTCCAAAGGCAAATATGGCGATACTCCTCTGGTAGGCTCTGGCGACTATAAGCCGCTATCCCAGAAGCGCTTCAAACTGCACGAAGTGGCTGGCGTTGACAACGGCACTGAAGTCCTGGTTCGTTGCAAAGTGGACAATGCTAGAAGTCAAAGTGCAAAACTTGGCTTCCTTTTGCTATCGCACGGTCCTGACTCAATACAAGCTGTTGTAGCAGCTTCAGAGACCATTAGCAGGCAAATGGTTAAATTCGCTGCCAACATCCCACCTGAATCTATTGTCGACGTCGTTGGTCTTGCTAAAGATGTTCCGGAGCCGATCAAGAGCGCATCGATCAGCAACAAGGAGCTTCACATCGTGCAGATATGGGTTATCTCAAGAGCCATATCTAAATTACCTATCCAGGTAGCAGACGCTGACACAAGGCTACCCAGTGAGGACAAGAGTGCAGAACAAGAGGAGGGCGGACGAGCGCTTGTTGGACTGAACACGCGACTTGACAATCGCGTTCTTGACTTACGGAGTCCTCTAAACCGTGCCATCTTCAAAGTTCGCAACGGAGTGAAGAAAGCTTTCACGCAATTTCTCACTGAGCGCGGCTTCATTGACATCGATACGCCCAAGCTGCTTGGCTCACCATCAGAAGGAGGAGCTAATGTCTTCGTTGTGGAATACTACAAGGGCAAGGGCTATCTCGCACAGAGCCCTCAATTCTACAAAGAAATGGCGATTTCAGCTGGTTTTGAACGTGTCTTCGAGATCAGCGACGTCTTCCGGGCCGAAGATAGCAACACATCCCGCCACTTGTCTGAGTATACATCTATGGACCTGGAAATGGAATTCACCGACGATTATATGGAAGTGGTTCACTTGATTCGCGACCTAATGCACTACATCCTAGCAACCCTTGCAAAGAACTTCTCGCGAGAGATCGAATATGTGCGAGGTAAATACCCGTCTGAGCCCTTCAAACTGCCAGAAAAGAGCGAGGACATACCGATCATCGAGTTCGAACAAGGGTGCAAGTGGCTCAACGAGGCCGGCATCGAGGTAGATGACAGCGACGATGTCAATTCGCAGCAGGAGAAGGCGTTAGGAAACATTGTCCGAGAGAAATTCGGGACGGACGTCTACATTCTGAACGGCTATCCCCACAAAGCTCGCGCCTTCTACACCATGCCTCGAAACGCTGACCTGGGCTCAAAGTATAGCAACAGCTTTGATTTCATGATGCGCGGACAAGAAGTACTCTCCGGTGCTCAACGTATTCATGACCATGTCCTGTTGTCAAAGAAGATGCGAAGTTGGCAGCCTCCACTTGATCCTGAAAGTGCAGGCTTCAAAGATTACGTGGATGCATTTAAGTACGGATGTCCACCGCACGCGGGAGGCGCGTTTGGTTTGGAGAGAGTGGTGTCAAACTATTTGGCACTACAGAACGTGCGACAGGCATCGCTCTTCCCACGCGATCCGAGCAGATTAACGCCATGAGCATGTTTGATAGAGGAAGATTCGGTGGTAGACTCATACACCTCCATGAACGCGGTGATTTGGGTTAGAGCTAGACGTAGTTTCGACAGTTCGACTTGTATCCGATGTGCTTGTTCCAAACGTAATGGTGAATCTTAGTCGCATACAGTCTGCACATTCAACTGCATCAATTGAAGCCAACTTAACTGGTGATGAACGACTTGGCGTCACGTGCAAGGCTGAAGATGAAGTGGGACCGACTTATCTCAGCAGGCTCAGACGCTTCGCTGGGGCGTTTTTGTGGCTGACGCTAAACTATTTTGAACTTCTGCTAAGTCCTCTAAATTCCTGGACCAATCACAGCGCGCTAAACCCTAAAACCCTGTTACGAGGTAACATGGTGATCACGTGAAGGGAGAGCGATCATGTTGATCATTCATGATCGAGGTGATCAGTCTGCATAAGCGAAAGGTTGTGATTCGCTCAGAAGGATTGAACGAATCAGGAATGCAGTTAGTGATCAGTCTGATCATTCATGATCAGAATGATCGCTGAGAATCAGG